ATGGCCCCATCCCATTAATCCTCCATCAATGCATTAATTGAAATCAATTTGAAATCAAATTTCAAATTATTTCCCTCCCAATTTAATCAAAATCTAAGATTAATTTCAAATTTAGATTAAATCACACCCCCAACCCAACCTAACCTAATCTCTTCAAAAACCCTAGCCTCCTCCCCACCTCTCAAAGCCATTCCCCACCCTCTCTTTCACGACCCAACCCGACCGGAAATAATCCCATCGCGTTGAGTCGCGACGTGTGAATTCAGGATCTAGCTTTGGAATTTGTTTTCAGACTTTCTTCTAATAATTAGACATACAGAAAAAAATTACATAGCTACTATAAAACATACAAACTTACAGACAAGCTCATCCATGATTTACTTTCTTCTCATTCATCAAAATAATCATGTACATTACAGTGCATGGCTGTTAACAGAAAGTACAGAACAGAAAAGCAGAAAAGCCATGACCGTACAAAAATCAAAAGTGCAAAAATACCTAGTCTCAGTTCAAAACCTCCTTCCCTTTCCCAGAACTTGAAAACCATGAAGATAACCACAATGAGCTAACAGCTCAGCAAGACTACACTAGCCGATCTAAATCTCCAGAAACTCTCATATCAAAATACTCACAAAAGCGTTAAAAACATTTTATTCAAATAGCCGTGCAGCATTCAGATACTCGTACATAAATCAGAATATTAGACAGAGTTCAGAGATTCATACATAACATAAATCAAACATAATACAGAAATTCGTATAGAATGGATAAGATAACAAAGACAAAAGAGCTGAATCAAATTTATGTCACAAAATTATTCAAATCGGAATTCAAATCAAAGTTCAGAACAGATTTCAGAAAACATTCAAATCATATTTCAAAATAGATTTCTCTGACCCAGACAGAATCTAAGAGGATTCTGGCCCCTTATGCTTCCCTTCCCTGACACAAACAGAATCTCAACGAATTCAAACCCCTTATGCCTCCCTTTGTGCTTACAGCACCAGAATATATCAGATATACAGAATGATCATATCAGAATTCATTTTCATATTCCCGGACCCAGACAGAATCTCAACGGATTCTAGCCCCTTATGCCTCCCTTTCCTGACACAAACAGAATCTCAAAGGATTCCGGCCCCTTATAACTCCCTTCTGATATCATGCACAACACATCAACATGAACTCACATCAGATACAGAGAAATCAGATTCGTATCAGAATATCATCAGAGAGTATAACAGCAGACAACGGAAATTCAACAGATCAAAATTCACAGTTTCAGAAAATTATCAAATTACCAGAGATAGTATAAAACAATATTTCAAGACTATTATTGTACTGAAGCAATATTTTTCAACATCCAGATAATTTCATATTCGATGAAAACTCAGCAGAATTCAAAATGCCCGGTGAAAATCTTCCAGAAAATACTCAAAACGTGCAAAATTACAATCTCTATAGCATACCAAAAGTTAGGCGGTAAAAGTTTTACCGGCACGAAATTATACCAGATTTTCGCTAACGGAAACAGAAATTTAAACAAGAAATCCATCAAAATCCATATTTCTGAAAAGAAAACAACCGTATCGTGTATTGTCTCGCCGGGACCATTGAGCTTCAACGACCAAGAACCCCGTTGTGAAAGCCATTTTTCCTTCCAGGTTCGTCCGAACGAAGTTTTTCCTTCCAGGTTCGTCCGGGACGATCAGTTCAAAATCAGGTGACAGAGAAGTTCGTCCGAGGACGAATTAGGGTTCGTCCGTATGAAATTTGTCCAGAGAGCAACTCATCCAGGAACGATAACTATTTCATCTGAACGAAATTCGTCCAGTGGGCAAATCGTCCCGGGACAATTTTGGATCGTCCAGGACGACCTGCATGCATATATAATGGTTTGAGATCTTTTTGAAGAGAGAGAAAAGCCAGGAGAGAGAAAATCGAAGGAAAAAGGAAGAAAAGTGATTTTTGGGCAACTTCGGTCCGTTTTCGTCCGTCGCTGTAGTTGGTAAAGTTGACCGACTCAAGGTAAGACACATTCCGCCTTTCTCAATTTTCAGAAACGAGAATTTTGACGACTATTCTGTCCCGGATGTTATTTCCGTTAGTTAATATTTGGTTTCTTTTCACACTGACGAGCTTTTTACCGCGTAACTTTTGATATTTGGTATGTTTCTGAGATGATGTTTGTGCACGTTTTGAGTATTTTCTGAAAGATTTTTACCGGATATTTTGGATTCTGCGGCATTTTAATCGAACTACGAATTATCTGGATGTTGAAAAATGTTGCTTCAGTACAATAAAAGTCTTACAATGATGTTTTGTATTATCTGTGGTAACTCGGTAAATTTCCGAATCTGTTCTGAATTGAATGCTTTGATGTGCTGTGATATCAGAATAGAGTTATAAGGGGCCAGAATCCTTTGATATTCTGTCTGTGACAGGAAAATCTGAAAAGAAAACAAGTTCTGTTCTGAAAATTCTATATATCTGTTCTGTTCTGGTGCTATAAGCACAAAGGGAGACATATGGGGCCAGAATCTGTAGAGATTATGTCTGTGTCAGGGAAGGGAGGCATAAGAGGTCAGAATCCGTTGAGATTCTGTCAGGGTCCGCGAATCTGATATGTGATCTGATATTGAAATGTGACTTTATCTGATTTGAAATATGCTCCATACGATTCTGTTTATTCTGTGAAATCTGATTTGAATGTTCTGCTATGTGATATGAATTTAGTTCTTCTGTACCGATTATTGGATTTCTGTTCGATATTTGTTCTGTATGATTATCTGAATTCTGTACAGCTACTATTCTAATGTATTTTGGTTGTGAATTTCTGGAGATTTTGATGGGCGATTGTAGTCTTGCTGAGCTGTTAGCTCGTCATTGTTATCTGCGTGGTTTTCAGGTTCTGGGAAAGGAAAGGAGATCTTGAACTAGCAGTTCTGTGTCTGATCAGTGATTATGTATTTTGAACTTTTGATTATTGTACAATCATGGCTTTTCTGTTCAGTTCTTTCTGTCGGTAGCCATGCACTGTATTGTACATGATTATTTTGATGAAAGGAGAAAATGATAGATGAACTGTTATGTATATTTGGAAGTTATAGTAGCTCTGTGTTTTCTGTTCTGTATGTCTGAAATTTGGAAGAATGTCTGAAGCAAATTCCAAAACTAGATCCTGGATTTTCAACATTTGTCGCGGCCCGATGCGAAGGGATTCGTTCCGGTCGGGTTGGGTCGTGACACCCGTGGTCCCTCATTGGACGCTCCGTGCCCCTCCAACTCTGATTACCTTCCCAACAATGACGTTCCTCGGCTCGTCCTTCCTAGTGGTCACTTCACTTCTAGTGTGGAAGATCTTCCTCCGCTCAGCCTAGATTCGTAGAGAGAGAGAGCCGATCTTCATTGTGAACATCTCATTATTAACTATTGGATTTGTGTTATAAGCTTTTACATTACTTCGCCTTTGTATTGGATTGAGAGTATCTTGGTTACTCTTCATGTATTTCTTTGCCTAAATAAGTGGAAAACCGCGAATTTTCATAACTTACTTTGATTTGATGCATAACTTTATGATGGTTAACTTTTAATAAATTCTCTTGTTAATCTTTTTTGTAACTCCATGCATGTGTCACATCAGAAACAAACAAATTATGTAAGAATTTCTTAGCTTTGGAATGACCTCAGGTGTTATTAGAAGAGACCAAATGAAGTACGAAATTGAAATTCAATGGGATCAGATTCAAATTTATACAGAAACTCGTCAAAATAAACAGAAGAACCAAATATGAGGCAAAAACTACAACCAACATCAATTCAACACGATTTAATGGAAATTCTCATCAACTTTCAGTTGCATTTTGATGCCTATCGCCAAGTTTCACAATTTTTCATATTTTTAAACTTCACCAGAGAAGTAATAGCTATTGCAATTCACGTAGTGATCCCATTCGAGCACCTTTGATTAAGGGCCTGATACATGCTACATTTTTTTTTTCAGAAAAGGGATTTTATATGATCTATGCTCTGAAAATTGAAGATTGGATATCACTATTAAGCACCTGTTCATCTGTTCTACATGCAAGATAATCTATAGGTGGAACTATATATTCTTTGTTATAATATAGTTTTTACCATAATCCATTCTTCATCCATTTGACATTTAAGTTACAACCATATGTCACTGAAGATAGCATACTCGACAGTTATTCGGATGCCGACATTTATATTATTATGATGGCTACACAAAACAACTTAAGGATGAATTCTCATAAAATAGGGAAATAAGTGTACGGAAACGTTGGAAATTTAAAATTTAGGAGATTCAAATTCAATTTATTTGGAAAATATTTAAAGATTTAAGATATCCGTGCCAATATTAAGAATGATATAATATCTAGTTAGTTAAAAAGATAATATGATTAACTTTGTTTCAGGACAACATAACTAGTTCGAGATGCAAAAAAAAAATCTTATAGTTTTATTTATTTGAACTGAAAGAATGAAATTTTTTTTCCTGGACGTGAAGTCCTTGTCTTCAAACTGTAAATACAAACAAGTTCAAAGAAATTGTAAAGGTTTTATGTAAATAGAAAAATTGGCAAAGAGCAAGTTCCTTAGGTTTTCATTTGTGCCTTCACAATCGGAAGATCAGAAGCATGATAAACGGAATCAAGCTAACCATGGCAAACAAGAGGCTTGCCTAGGTAAGATCATTTTATCAAACAAAAAGAAAATAATCATAATATCAATAAAATATGCAGTACGCTTTACAATATGCATTAGCATGATATTTTTTAAAGAAAAATAAAAATATGGCAAGCATATAGTTGGTCAATGATACAGGCATAAGAAATCAGAACCTGGCATTTTAATTTTAAAATAGTTTTCATAAATGAATTAAAAATCACTAAAGTGAATCAAATCATAGCCATTCTGAACTTACCAAAATGTAAACCTGAAAACTCCGAATATAAGCATGTGATCATTAAACTTACTCTATCGATTTGGTACTTTCAGATAGCTTTAAAAGAAGTAATTTTTTCGTCTCGGGCAGGTTCTTTTGAGCATGGAATTCAGCAAAGCTTCTTTTCAACATGTCTTCCACCTGAAGTTCTAAAAGTCAAACATTGAAAGTACATCTTAAAACTAAATCAACAAATCAAAGAACCATAGAAGTGTAATATGGTTATGCAAATAAAATTTAAAAGAGAAACCCCTCAACCACTGCTCGCAAAAAGATATGAAAACTTTGTATAATAATTACCATCTAACATAAGCCAAAATACAAGAATGAACGTAACAACCTCGTCCAATTAGAAAATAAAAAGAATTGCGCTCTTATTTCAAAAAAAAAAAAATTATGAAACAAATTTTTCTGATAACCTATTTTTGTTGAAACTTAAACCGATCAAATCTAAAATGGATTTTTGATTTTGAAATTCCTGGACAGCTGACTGAATAGAAGAGTCAGGAAGATAAACTCAAAAAGCTTAATATCAAGGCCCACCATAACAGGATGTAGGATAAGAAAAAGTGAGGGTGTCCTTGGGAAAAAGACATTATCCACTTCGTGAGGTTGGCTACATAAATCATTTTTTTCCATTGTGTCATATTAATAGTCAAATTTTCATTTAAATCTAATAAAAAAAGTCATTTATAATACTTTCTAACCAAATCTTTTTAGGTATACCCCTACCTTTTTAGCATAAACCGGATCTAATTTATCTACTCTCCTAACATGATCATAAGAAAGGCCAACATTTTATGTAACCAAACCATCTAAAACGACTCTATCTAATCTTCTTTGCCATTGGAGCTGCTTCAATATTTTCATGTATATATTCATTTCATTTTCTATCTCTAAGTGTAAAGCCACTCATCTGCCTAAGCATTCTCATCACCGCAACACTTAACTTTATGCCTCTCTTTTAATGGTAAAAAAATTTTGTAGTAAAACACTGCTGGTCTCACCACCATCTTATAAAATTTCTCTTAAGTTTGAGGGGTACTTCTATCACACAATAGACATGGCACATTTCTCCACTTCAACTATCCAACTTGATTTATACAAACAATATACTCATCTATTTCACAATAATTTTGAACAATATACCGAAGATATCTAAAAGTACTCTTTTTAATGACATGATCGCCCAATATTACAATCCCACCACTAGATCTATTACCACTAAAATTATACTCCATGTATTCAATTTTAAATCTACTCAAATAAAAACCTTTAGTGATGGGGACATCGGTTGGAAAGTCTACCGTCGACGTGGCCGTAGATCTACGGCCACGATTTATCCGATGTACTTTTGATTTTATTATTGTTGTTTTCTTATTGATGTATTTTATTTCAGCATTTTTCCCTTTTTACCCTTGCTTGAGGGATTGAGTTATGTAACCCCTTGAGGGTATTTGAGTCCTTTTGCTTTAAGTCATTGTAATAGGCTATTTAAAGCCTTCATCTTATACATTTGAAGCTGATGAATGATATTAAGAAATTTTCCTGCATTTGTCTTCTTGAAGCTTTTGTGAGAGCTTGAGAGAGAGTTTGAGAGTTTGGTTGAGCCTAGGAGAGGCTACCAGTAGTACCCAACAGTCACCTCCGGTGGATCTTGATTTTTCCTCTGTTCTTCTTTTCCATCTACCCAACGTTCACCTTCGGTCATCTCCCACCACCAACCACCACCCAATAACCCCTCATACCAAAGCTCACCCTCATCCCAATCACAAAACCCAACCCCCTCCATCATCCCGCCGGCCCTCCCTCTAACCACCGGCTTCCCCCTTCATCCACCACCCCACCTCTCCGTGAATCGCCGGCTCCTTTGCCGCCACCTCACGTATTCTCAAATTTGAAATTTGAAAATTTGAGGAGTTGAAAGTTTCCAAATTTGCCCAGTGCCAAATTAGGAAAGTTTCAATGAGGTTTCAATTTTCAAATTTGAATTGAAACGGATTTGAAATTTTTCGTCATTAATTAGTTTGAGCGGATTATGAAACACATTACACTCTCCCCAAACCCCCTTCCCCCTCACCATGACGCCAGCCCCCTTAGTGGTCCCCTCTCCTTTAATGCTTCATTAAGGGACTTGATTGCATGCTATTTGAATTTCAAAATCCACTTATTTTCCCTCCATTCTTACTCAAATCTGAGAATAATTTCAGATTTGGAAATTAAAACAATTTCTATTCCACCTAATCTGGCTCTTTCCCAACCCTAGCCTTTTTCCACCTTACAAACCGCCGGCCTCTCTCTCTCTCTCTCTCTCTCCCCCCCCCTCTCAAGGTTTTTTCTCCTTCATCGATTTGAGATGTATGATCGATCCGGAGTTTGATTGCGGTTTTGCGTACGACGGCTAAGATTGCAGAGAACTTCTCAACTTGCCTTCTTCAACTTGACTCCAAACGTTGTAGGATCCAAAGAGAAGGCCACCTACCACTTGCTATTCATTGTAATCAAGGCTAGGGAAGAGAACTACGGAAGGTACGTGGTGCATCAAGACGTAAAATAACACGAATGTGATTTTCTTCCTTGACACATTTACTTTCAAATTCTACCTTCCTCATTGAGAGATTGTTCAAGCAAGAGATAGTGTCTACTAATCGCCATCCACTAGTAATCGTAGGATTGTTACTTCTTTGCTTTTAGATGTCATTGTTAGGCCATGGTTACGTTGGAAACTACTCCGCATGCAATGCTTTAGTTTTCCTACATGTTTTGATTTTGTTTAGTCTCTTGCGTAGCTTAGCACAAACGGAAGTGACCACTTATTAGTTTTACTTTGTTGTTTTAGTCGCTAATAACAAAAATTTGAAATTGCTCTTTAACTATTTGTGCAAGCTTTCTATTTCGCATGTAGTCCTGCATCATTTAGACTCTAAGGTTGACCTCCATAATTAAAGTTTTTCATCAACTCCCTCTCTAGTCTTATCAATAAGAAAAATATCATCAAGAGCAAACATAAATCAAGATACATACTTTTGCAAAGGTCTAGTAATACCATCCATGACTAAGCAAAAAGATACATGCTTAAAGCTGATTCTTGATGTAAACCAACTAAAATAGGAAAAAAATTGGTCAAACCACCTTGTGTTTGAATAGAATTAACAGCTCCTGCCTATATATCCTTAATGACATGAATATAAACGTTATTAACTTTTTTTTCTAGAACTCTCCATAGCGCTTCTCTTGTAACATTATTATATGATTTTTCTAAATCAATAAATATCATAAGTAGATCCTACTTACTCTGTCTATAATTTTCCATCATACTTCTCAACAAATATATAGCTTCCATAATAGACCTACCCAACATGAATCCAAACAGATTTGGAGAAACATTATATCACTTTCAACGTAACCTATGTTCAATTACTTTCTCTCATAATTTAAATGTATGACATATTAACTTAATTTATCTATAATTCACATACTCTTGTGCATTAGTTTTATTCTTAAAAATAGGAACCAACACACTCCTTTACTCATTTGACATTAAGGGTGTAAGTGAGCCGAGTAAGCTTGTGAACCGAGTTAAGCTCAAGTTGATAAGAAGTTCACAAGTAGAGCTTATCAAGCCGCAAGCTAAAACTCAAGTTCGACTAGTAAACAAGCTCAAGTTCGAGCATGATGAGGCTCAACTTGCGAGCCGCCTTGTAATAATATAACTGATGATATTTTTTTTAAATTAGCTAAGCCTTTTTTTTCTTTTAACAAAAGTTGTTATTTGTTGTTGACCACTAATCACCTCACAACCCCACTCACATTCACTCCCCATTTGACTCTCACGTAAATAGGAACTGAAGGCAAGAGCTCTCCCTCTCCCTCTCCCTCTCAATTTCTCTTTGTCGAACATAACAGCCACCCTAGGTCCACAAGGTATTCTTGGACGAAGCAACACATGGCTGCCGACAAAGTTCATTCTATCAAGTTGGGTCAGCTACCCCCTCTGATTTAGTAAACCAGGGACCATGACAGCACATGATGGCGGAACCACGGGATTTTGATCGGGCCCGTCATCATTCCTTAATGATCCGCTTTAAATTAATGATGATGAATTTCAAATCATGAACACCAAAATTTAAAACAAAATTCAAACCCTAAAATTGTTATTATATGCTAAGTAAATATTGCAACATATTCAACGAGTAGCCATAATTGAAAGTTCTCTTGTTATCGAGAGGGTAATTAACTACAAGGGCAGAACACAGGTCATAAAGTCCTCGAAAAATAAGGGCAAAATCTCTGTGTAATGCTTATCTAAAACCTGATCAGCCTACTGAAAATCTACCCTGAAACCCAAACTCGTTAAAACTATCCCCATCAACAAAAAAGGCACGGAGAGGTCGGGGTGCAAATTTTCAAAATCCACATTATTGCAGCTAGGATTTGAAAGAAAAAAAAAGGCAAAATGTTGCCTATCTATAATGATTCCCAAGATTAGCTCATGCCCTACCGCCCTAGCATTAACAAAACTGCAGAAAAAAACAAGTAAAAGACAAAAATCTAAAAAAAAAAAGAAAAAATTGTATCGCGTCCCTAAAAAAATAAAAAACAAATCACTTTCTCCTCTTCTGTTCTACAAACAAAGCAATAGGCTTTCCTTCGTTGTTAAGCATGTAAAACCCGCAAAATGTTGTTTTAGACCTCGCACGTTTTTCAAAGCGTCACGACGAGTTTTAAGTGAAAAATTCAAGTTTGTCGGATTTCGATGGAAATAATTTTGAAAAATTCTATGCAAAATTCTAAGAAATTTGATATATAAAACTTGTATTTGATTTTGCTTAATTCAGGAATTAAAATTCATCGAAGTCTCATAATTCCAATAATACCCCTAATGTTTATTCAAGCATGGGTTATTTAAGTGAGGGCAAAATTGACATTATGGAAATCCCTTTCTCTTAAGGGGACCGAATTCCATTCGGTCCCCATTTCATTTCTTCCGCCCGAACTCACGAAGAGGAGAAGGCGGACGGGAGAGGAGAAGGCGGACGGGAGAGGAGAACGGGTGGCTCCGGCGGTGGATTCCGGCGGCCATACTTGGGGAAAATCGTAGGGGAGACTGAGGGAAGGCTAAGGTATGCATTAGAATTATT